GGCATTGAGTTGTAGACAGGAGGCAAGTAGTAGAGTCGGGATTAAGCAAGAGTCAGGAGCCAGAGTCTGGGGTTCACAGCAAGGCAAGGTCTGAGTGGAAATAATGAAGAAACAATGCATTGTTACTCAGACAGCTCCCTGTGATGGCTTTCTGGTATATATACCAGCACTGGCCAATCAGTGGACTTTTGGGGCAGCCACTCAGGCCCCACTGTACAGTACTTCCTGCAGTGTCTAGCTTCACAGGATCCCCCAGCAGAAACCCGGTCTGAGCTTCCAGTGGCGATGCTGAAGTGTTGGTAGTCTGGAACCCCATGGTGCCAGGTTCTAGTCTTGCAGATTCTTACACAGAGTTGGAGGGGCAACAGGTAAAGTCTATCAGACAGTGTCACGTTCACTGACTCCTGCCGTGATCTGCCTCTCATCAGCCAGTGATCCAGGCAGGGAGAGACATGAAAGCCTTGCATTCTCAGGTGGGTCAGTGCTGTAGAAGGCCCGAGCAGCTTTATCTTGTACAGGTAATGATATAGTCCCACTTTGAATTTTGAGTACTTCCTGCAGGCTAGGTGGATAGATATATGGAGGTACACACCTTGCAATTTGAAAGCCACAAACCATGCTTGAGCCTGAAGAAATGGAACAACAGAGGGAAGTGATACCATCCTGAATCTGAGGCAGTGTGTGTAGCTGTTCAGTCTCTTCAGGTTTAAAATAGGATGAAGACCCTTCTTCTTTGGCATAATGAAATATTATGGCTAGAAGCCTCTTTCCCTATACTCTTGAGAATCCTCTATGGATCTTAGGCATGTCTACACTACTAGCTAAATCAGCACTGCTGCGATCGATGCAGTGGTGTAGATTTAGCAGGTCTGGTGAAGACATGCTAAATCGATGGGAGAGCACTCTCCCATCAATTTGTGTACTCCACCTCTCCGAGAAGTGTAAAGGAAGTCGGCGGGAGAGCATCTCCCATCAACACAGCACAGTGTAAACACTGTGGTGAGTGGATCTAGCTACGTCGACTTCAGTTACATTATTCACATAACTGAAGTAGTGTAACTTAGATCGATTTACCATGGTAGTATAAACCAGCCCTTCAGTGAAGGAACAAGGCCATTTCTCTTTGTAAAAGACTCTCGTGTGAAGGATCCCTGGAGAGGGACAGGGAAGGAGAGTGGGTGGGCAGAAGGTGTGAAAATAAAGGGGCTAGCCAAGGGCTACTATGTCCAAGACTGAAGACTGGCTCCTGATCTGTTCCTATGTGGCTCCTGACTTTCCCGTCAAATCTACTGTTTGGATGATGGGACAGAGTGTGTGACAGAGGAGGCAGATGACTGGAGTCTCCTTGAGTATCACAATTGTTTCTATGATAGGTACTCTGGCTGTCTGCCCTGAAAATATGGGTGAGCCTACTGTGTTGAGAGGGGCCCTTGAATCCTTCAAGAAGCACAGTGCTTCCTGAGTTCTTTTGTTGAAGAGGTCCATACCATTGAAAAAAGAGGTCTTGTATGCTGTCCTCAACTTCCCCATGGCAGATGCTAACAGCCTCATGGTTACAGGCATGGTCATCAACCTTAAGGCCGTGCTGGAGGTATCCCAGGCTGCCTCTAGGGCTGTACTGGTAAACATTTGACCTTCTTTGAGATCCATATATGCTCCAGAGTCCTGCAGTACTTTCACCAAGAAGGGAACCAACCCTTTCCCACTTCAGGAAATTGTATCTGGTGAAAGTCCAGTAGTTGGCCACATGGAGTTACACTAAAGTGGATGAGTAGGCTTTGTACCTGAATATCCTTGTTCTTGGGCGTGCCTTTTGTTGATTTTGATTTTTCCTGAATTACTGCAACTACCAATGATCCTGGGTTTGGATGGGAATAACAGTATTTGAATTTTTTAGAGGTACCTGACAGTCCCACAGTTCACCTGTTCTAACATGGACTGGATGGTAGCAAGGGTTTACCAGAGACCTTTGGCTAGCTATTGCATGCCCTCATTTATGGGGAGAGCAATTCTTGCCAGATCTGATGCAGTCAAAATGTCAAAGAGTTGACAGGATTTCTCTTGTATGACTGTCATTTTTATATTTGGGGTCTCCACCAAAGGAGCTCGGAGATGCTTTAAAGTCATCAACTGTCAAGGCAGGAGCTGGTATGACTGCATCAGGTGAGGATGACTACTCTTTAGGAGGAGATTGAGGATTCCTGGTATTGTACAGCTCCTGGGTACTGGGTCAGGCTCTAGTACCAGTAAGGCTAAGGTGGCATGGCGTAAGGGTACTGGGGCCCATTTACAGCTGGTTAGCCCAATGCCACCTATGTCTCTTTTGTGGTGTTGTGCCTTGCGAGATGGATCTCTGATAGCAGCTCTAGGTTTACTCTCAGGAAGTAGAGAAGAGGCATTGCTGCTCAACATGAAGGAGAAATCTGGGAATGGAGAAGAAGAGAAATACTCTTCAAATGGGGGTGCCATGGGGTAATGTCTCAGCCCCGGTGCTATGTCGGCACTAATGATGTCCCCATAGAGGATCCTGACTGCTCTGTAAGGGCAGGTCTTAGTCCTGAAATTGATGCAGGTGCCAGTTTACTCCATGCTACTCCCTTAGCAGAGGACTTAGACACTGTCCATGGACGACTGATGTCTCATCACATCTCCCTGAGCAATACTTCTCAGTGTTTGATCTCCACTTGGCCCTGCCTTTTGGTCACGCTCTTGTGTTGGTGAGCTGGTGTGAACATTATTTGTGCCAGAGGCATTGTTGCCAAGCATGTTGCTACTAGGGCCGAAACAGTTGTTGGTTCTGGTGTAGCAGCAGCTGGTGCCAAAGGTTTCAATGCTGGGGCAACAGGTATCCATTTTCATGGATTTTTTTTCTTTTGCTGCTGGCCACCGGGGTGTGGTGCTTCCTCGGATGGTACCCACTAAAGACATCTTCTTTGGAGGAGGATGTCTTGTCTGGATCTGAGGTGATGCTCATTAATTGCCTGAGTAGGTGTAGTTTCAGCCGTGCGTCCTTCTACTTTTGAGTTCTTGAGAAGAAGGACATGCATGCTAAATACTAATCAGTGATGGGACTCTCCTTGAGGCAGGAAAGGCTGCTGTTATGCTCATCAACCATGGCAATGAGTCCATTGCAGGTTGGGCAGGGTTTAAACCCTGTGGGTTTAGAGTCTGCCATGGCGGTTGGCATGAGGCGTCTTGCCCCACTGTACAGGAGGGGATGTAGGTTTGTTCTTTTTGTTTTGTTTTTAGGAACATTCAAATTAAGAAGTAAATGAAGATGAGTGTGAAGATAGATTTCTTCATATAACCAGTCAAGGTGATTAGTTTGAAGATCACAAAAAAAAGCGGGTTCTGTCTTGCTGCAACGGGTGGTAAGAGGGAACTGATGGAGGGCTGCAGCAACTCTGCCCTCTATACCCTAGCAGGGAACATGAGGCGGCACAGGGTGCATGTGTAGCCTGGGTGGACATGGCTATTAAAAAAAATCATCTAACCTCACACGCACAGGGCACGTGCAAACCTACAGTGGGATCCACACTGACACATACTCATAGAAAGAGAAGATCTATGAAGTTAGCTGCTTGAAGTGCATGGAGACTTTTAAAAAACCTGAGGGTAATTCTAGAGTTGGATCCTAAAACAAACGAGGAGCTACTGGGATTTGTGAATGGGGTGATGTTATGTGTCTTTGTATATGGGAGAAAGCAGGCAGGAGCTTTCTGCTGGAAAGCTGGGATATATGCAATATAGAGTGAGGAAAAGCAAAGACCAAGGTTTTCAGAGGTGAAGTTGAGTGAAATGCATATATGGTCACTGTAGTGATGACTAGGGCCCTACCAAATTCATGGCCATGAAAAACTTGCCATGGATTGTGAAACCTGGTCCTTTGTATACTTTTACCCTATATTACACAGATTTCACAGGTGAGACCAGCATTTCTCAAATTGGGGGCCCTGACCCAAAAGGAAGTTTCAGGGGGATCGCAAGGTTATTTTGGTGGAGGGGTGGGGGGAGTGTCACTTTATTGCCACCCCTATTTCTGCGCTGCCTTCAGAGCTGGGCAGCCGGAGAGTGCTGGCTGTTGGCTGGGCGACCTGCACTGCCTTCAGAGCTGAAGTAAGGGTGGCAATACCATACCATGCCAGGCTTACTTCTGCGCTGCTGCTGGTGGCAGCTCTGCCTTCAGAGCTGGGCTTCTGGCCAGCAGCCATCGCTTTCCAGCTACCCAGCTCTGAGGGCTGTGCCGCCATCAGCAGCAGCGTAGAAGGGTAGCATTACTGCAACACCCCCGAAAATAACCTTGCAACCTCACCCCCAACTTCTTTTTTGGGTCAGGACCCCTACAATTACAACACCATGAAATTTCAGATTTAAGTAGCTGAAATCATGACATTTATAATTTTTAAATTCCTATGACTGTGAAATTGACCAAAATGGACCATGAATTTGGTAGGGCCCTAGTGATGACACATGGATTTACAAAGACGTATCAGAACAAAGATACATCAGAGTCACTGATAAAACAAATGTTACAGGCATCACAGAAAAATGGGAGGATAGAGGACTGATATATTGAATTAGTCAAAGATGTAAGTCTTGAAAGATTAATTTATAAACCACAAACTTAACTAACAGAGTACAATGTAGTTGTGGGAATTTCTTTGAGTGCATTAGTAATACAAATGTCAATCTTATCTATGCAAGACAACGTGTTTAAAAGATTAAAAATAGTTTCTTAACTGTATATTCTTCACTACTCCACACAAGAGTGAAAAAGTGAAATGGACTCAGATTTATTTTCTTTATCTTCGTCATGTATTATAATTCTAATAGGTAACTGTATCAGGGGGTTAAAATGTATATTTGTATATGTTCCTTAATTATAAGAATATGCAAATATGGATTTTTAATATACTTCAAGAATAAAAATACGTTTTAATGTAGTTTTACGATTTTGGCATTCAGGACAGCAGTAAAGTAAATCTAAGACTTTGGCTTACCAACAGAGGTAGTCCTGATCCACTGCCAGAACTCTGTGACTGGTCAATAAGATCCTTTAATGACTCCCCGGCTGGAATAAATGCTTCATCTTGCTCCAGATCACGATTATAACAACGTCTTTTTGCTACCCATCTACAGTAATGTCTGCAAAAGAAAAAAAACTACACATTAATACTTTTAAATATAATGTTACAGTTTATTAAACATCTTGACCTATGAAAAGAAAAAAGCTAAATTTATGTTTTTAAAAACAAGCAATATTTATTACACGGTCATGTCATTTTTAGATGACAGATTGAAGAATATTTAAATTGTGTACAAAAGACACCTGAAAATATTATATGACCACTTGATAAATTGTAAATCAGTATGTCTACGTGAGTCTCAAGTCAACATTTCCATCTGGGCTATATTAACTTCAGTTAGAGCAAATTAGGACTTTCTATCAATATTTGCAGTATTTTTGCCAATAGGATTACAGAATACAAGTGAACTCAGTTCATCTGAATAATGGTTGAGATATCTTTTGGTCAGTGATGCTGGAGCTAAGAGCTTCAAATGACTGTTCTGTAGTAACTGTTTAAAAATACCTATAATTTTTCTCCTATTTTTCTTTCCAACAAAACAAATATAACAAAAATCGCAAACAGGAAAGCAGAGATTTATTTTATATGCAATTATAATGAAGCCATGATTTTTTATATTAAACTTCTCTGCTATGTCAATGCCTTCAATTATGACAACTTGGCTAATGATCTAAACCCCAGCTGGCACACAATAAACATTGTTCCTGGAAGCACCCACATTGAATATGAGGATTACAGTCTGTTTTTGTTCTGTTCTGCTCTTTGCTGCTTCCACTCCTGGAACTCAAATGAAAGGAAAGTGTCCTAAGTACTTAAGATTTTGTCTATTTCGCTAACTTCCAAATGGGCAAAACAACAGAGAAACTGAGTGAAGCAACTTGCAACCCAGACTCCATTAGGTCCTATTACCACAGTATTATTAAAATCCCTAATTTGTCCCCAAGAGAATTTCTAGGCCAAGGGCACAGAGGAAGCACTATAAGCTCTAATTTCTATTCAGGTTCCAAGAGCACATGCACCATTGTGGTGCCTGAGCACATCCTGAGCAACTCCTCTAGAGAAAAATAGGGAGGGTGAAATCTACTTTAAAAAATTCATGTACAAACAGCTTTCTAAAGTTAGAGTTAAGGTTACTGCCCTACAACCAGGCTTTCCACTCCCTACATGCTCCCAGAACATAGGGCTTCAAGACCCAAAATAATTGTCAGAAAAACAGAAAATGCTCAGTTAAGATCTCCCCACACATTCCTCCCCTCCCGCCCAACACCTTCAAAATGTTTGTGTTCTGGGGGAACTACATTATTGGTTTAAATTTATGGTTTAGAGTAAAGAATATTAGGGTCAACCATGCATCCCTGTGCAGTGGGAAAACAGAGAATGACAACAAGTGACAAAAATGCAGAATGTTTTGTTTTCAATTCAGACTATGCAGGACAAATATAGCTATTTTTTAAAAAAGCAGAAAAACTGTAGAAAGTTTTATTCCTGTGGCTTATTTGAATCTTTAATATGTTCCTAGGACAGAATAATGCAGAAGATAAAACTCAGGAGTAGCACAAAAATAAAAACAGCAGTGGCTGAATATCCAACTGGGCAAATGCGCTAACATATTCTTGTTTATGGAATTTTATAATGCCAAAATAATACCTTGTTTTGAAAACCTGTACAGTTTTCACACATGGCTGGAATAAAACATCAAATTCTATGCAATTCCATACAACATGTTAATGTCCACATTTTTACCTAACACTATAAACTACTGTCCATAAAGATGTAAAGTTACATTTAGCTGGTTTCCTCTTGGATCTATTTAAAAAAAAAAATCTCTCTAACTAAACACATCTCTAGAGTAAGTCATTGTGTATATCAACATATAGGAAAAAATACTAGTGCGAAAGGAAGTACTTCTCCTTACTTGTAACAAAGGCAGCTAAATAAGATGATCATAACAATGATGCAGACTGCCATAGAAATCAGCACGGCCATCCAACGAACGCTGCCATCAAAAAGTCCATCTGTTTAAAAAAATAAAACAGTTACAATACTTATTTCCTAAAAAAGTTGCCAGTAGTTAGATTCTAGTATAAATAAAATATTCTATTTATCAGTCACTCTCTCATAGATTATGTATTTTGTAATTGCCAATTTTGTAAACATCTTCTCCATGAAATATTATTTTTCATTTGGAGCTACAGCTACACTCAGCAATATCAGGGATCCTTCCAAAAGGGGCAGCACGGGTAAAGAATTGCAAAGCATCAGATTTTATTCTCTGTAGCAACACTGACAATACTGTGGGTATGCCACACATTTTTTATACATACTTATATAAAATTCCTTGCTGTCTTAATATTGCCTACAATACCGATGGTAACTCACTCCAAGGCTCCTGAAGGCTTTCACTTCCAACAGATACCAAAAGTAATATATACTCCAGCTTAAAAAAAAAACACTCATACCAACAGAAAACCTTACTGATAACCTCACATATTCTTCTATCAACAACTTTGCACATCTGACTGTCCTACATCCCATGCAATGGGTAAATTACTCTTCCTTAGCACTGCTGAATTTTCTTTAAAGGATTTAATGTATTGTTAGAGTAGGCAAATTTCAGAGGAGACATGAGACTGAAGTACTTCTATCTATCTTCAGCGGTTGTTGAGATAGAATTTGAAGTTCTTGTGGCACTTCTTATAAACAGTGAAGGATAGTTCCAGAATCATGCCAATATATCCAGTCTCTCCTGTGAGGCTGGCTGATTCACAAAATTGACAATGGGCTATAGAGATTTCCATCTCTAGGTTATTTATTTAAATCTAGTCCAGGTCGATAGCTATCAAATGTTCCCACCTGATGGCTGTTGGGTGGTCTACATATCACAGTTTGGTAGTCTCAGAACAAGTACCATGCCCATACCTCAAGAGAACCCATCACAATCCTTCAAGGCTGTCTTATTAGAGAAGTCAATATTTAATTGAAATTGAACTACGTTCACATCAGTATATTTCAGTTTCCTTTCCCCTGAAAGCATAGTGGCCAAAACTTCCACAGTTACTATCCATGCTTTATTTGTTCTGTGAATAAATACAAGAATACAGTTTCCAAAAATGTCTATTCTAGCACCTTTTACAACTCTAAATTCACTAAAATAGAAAATATATACAGGATCTACTGTCTAAGGCTATATGCGAGAGATCAGAAACTTAACAGATCATATGATTTTCACAGGACTCTAAGACTCACCTGTTTTCCCAAGCTATTTCAAATGAAAGTAAGGGAGTTAAATAAAGCTAGAGACCAGGGAAAGATAGGAATGTGATATATTTTAAAGGACTGGGAGGTCCATTTACAATCATAGTCTTGTTGACTTTTTTAACATATATAAGTCTTGTTCTGTGCCTGTAGCACAGACACAGGGTAAGTGCTTTTATAAAAGTGGATACGTAAACCAACAATAATTCCTGTTCCATTTAGTAACACGCTACTTCACTAGCTAGATATTGTAGGTTCTCCCCTTTCTCCCTCAGGAGAGTGAAAATTCCAGGGGGAAAATGGGTCAGAAATGCTTACTACAGAAGAGATTAGGGCACACTCCACAGTCACTGCAGGGCCTTATGTACAACTTGAATTCCAGTGCCACTGCTGATCATATGGCAGAAAAGACTGGAGCTGAGAGGACTGAGAGGACTGGAAGGGAAGGTTTTTTTGTCAAATTCTAAAAGTACAAAACAAAACAAAATCATAGCAGCCAGCTAAGGTACAGAGCTATCTGTGAAGTGGAAATGAGTTTGAGCCACAAATGAGGCTCCTGGTATAAAGTCACTATTATACAAAGCTTAGGATAGTTATTAAATATTTATGTAAGTAAAAGTTGGGGTTCCAGAGGTGGATGAAAGCTGAGAGAACTTGGAGGTAAACACAGTTGCAAAGGCAGACATCATCCAAAAACAAAGTGATTATAGAGTAAGAGACCTTTTGATGAATCCTGTCAATTTTGGCTTTAAAAAATTAGAAAGACCTAGGGCAGTGAGAGACTGAAAAGAGTTTGAGCAAAGGGTCTAAGATGGAAAGGAATTTCTGGACTGAAGAAATGAACAAAGATATAATAGTTCAGTTAGGAGCAGAGCAGGAGGAAGAAAATTTACAGTAGAGACAGTTGGATGAGGTCCTGAGACTTCTTTCAGAGATAGTCAGCACTGCAAAAGTAGCAGCAGAAGTTATGGAAAAACCTAGACTGCAGACTGATCATAGGATAAAACAGGGGTGGGCAAACTTTTTGGGCCGAGGGCCACATCTGGGTGGGGAAACTGTAGGGAGGGCCGGGGCAGGGGGTTGGGGTGCAGGAGGGGATGTGGTGTGCAGGAAGGGGCTCAGGACAAGGTATTGGGGCAGAGGAGGGGTGTGGGGTGTATGAGGGGGCTCAGGGCAGGGGTTGGGGTGCAGGGTGAAGCAGAGAGCTCAGGGCAGGGGGCTGGGGTGCAGGAGGGGTGCGGAGTGTACGAGGGGGCTTATGGCAGGGAGTTGGGGTGCAGGAGGAGTGCGGGGTGCAGGCAGGGAGCTTAGGGCAGGGAGTTGGAGGGCGGGATGCAAGAGGGGTTTGAGCTCCGGCCTGGCGCTCTTTACCTAAAGCGGCTCCGGGGTGGCAGCAGCGTGCACTGGGGCCAGGGCAGGCTCCCTGCCTGCCTACCCTGGCCCCGGCCCCGTACCGCTCCAGGAAGCGCTGTGGCCCCTGGGGGTGGGGGGGGCAGAGGGCTCTGCATGCGCTGCCCTTGCCGCACCTCCAGGTATCTCCCCCAAAGCTCCCATTGGCCAGGGTTCCTCATTCCCGGCCAATGGGAGCTGCGGGGGGCGGTGCCTGGAGGCAAGGGCATCGCACGTGGAGCCCTCTGCCCCCCTGCCCGAGGGCTGTTTCTGAGAGCGGTGCGGGGCCCGTGGCGCCATGGGGGGCAATCCCGCGGGCAGTATCCAAAGCCCTGAGGGACTGTATCCGGCCCGCGGGCCGTAATCTGCCCACCCCTGGGATAAAATGATGCACCAGGGAAGCAAAGTGTGGATCAAAAGGACAGTGACCACGTAGTCAGAGTAAGACAGGCAGGTATGAGGAGGCAGCAGATGCTCTGAAAATTCTGGAATAGGTATGAATGAAAGAAAATGGGACATAGAAAATAGGTAATGCAGAAGTTGTTAAAATTAAAATGATGATTGCTGGGCAGAGGAACATCTGAAATGCAGATGTTTGAAAGAGGAAAATGCAGTGTGAAGGTCAGGTCAAGGGGGAGATGGAGTTGGCAAGTGTAGGATTTAGCACAGACCTTCGGACCAAAGGAGGTAATGAGGAAAGAAACTGAGGCAAGGCAATACTCCAGTCCTACACTTTCTCCTAATATTATATCAATTGGTCAGGAGGAATAAACCCATTCCAGATTAGTCTGTATAAACTGATAAAACAGCAGTTTACCTGTACTACCAAGTGGCGGTAGTGTGGGCTGTAGATCCCGATTGCAGAAATCAGTTCGACAGCATTCAATTGTCCGACGTAGCTGTGCTTTTGGGGAATCCTATAAATGGAGAACAAGAGAAAATAACTCAAAAGTTCTGAAATGGTCAAACAAGAATGATATTAGAGATAGTATAGATGTACAGTACTGTAGAGATTACATAGTTAAGACTGAGTTCTGTTTTGCACATAAAACAGGGATTCAACCCTCTTGGTTATGTATGAAAAATATATCACGTATCCTCTCCCAAATTTATGGCATATACTCTGACAACAGAATTAATTTCTGATAATTAACAAGTTAAAATTGATCTTAAAATGGCTTTTAATACATTTAGCACCTATGTCAGTTTTTTCTTTGTCCCAACTGGTATTAGTAATGGAATAATAATTTGAAAGTTTGAAAAGTCTAACTGAAACTAACATGGCCTCCGGGGGGGGAGCAGTCATTGACAGCATAGGGGAAAGAGTCACCCAGCTCTCAGTTCAAGTACCCAGACCTGGTATGGATAACAGAAGCCCTGAGCTGAAACTGCAGGGAAGTCCTGATAAGCTTTGGAGCATGCCCATGCTCTGCCCTGCATATCACACGCACATGTGTCTATATATTGTATCCAGTAATTAGCTGCACAATATGAAATTTAATGTAAATATCACATATTTCAAAATAACAGTTGAGTGACAAAGGAATTTTCTTCAGACCCAGTAGAGCATTAACATGGCAGAAGTTAGCTTTTCAAAATTTATATTTAAATTGTATATTACACACCACAACTCAAGAGTCTAGTGAGTTTGTGTGTCCATTCCAAGACTCTTTAAGAGTCCTTATTTTCAGAACATGGTTGCTCAGGAGATTTGGAAAAATCAGGCCCCTTTAAAGGTGTCTCAAATTGGACCCCTAGAAATAGAGCGGGGTGACCAACCTGTGGCGCTGGAGCCACATGCGACTCTTCAGAAGTTAATATGCGGCTCCTTGTATAGGCACCGACTCCGGGGCTGGAGCTACAGATGCCAAATTTCCAATGTGCTGGGAGGTACTCACTGCTCAACTCCTGGTTCTGCACAGGCCCTGCCCCCACTCCACCCCTTCCCGCCCCCTCCCCTGAGCCTGCCGTGCCCTCGCTCCTCCCATCTCCCCGCCGAGGCTCCATGCCACGAAACAGCTGATTGGGAGGTGCAGGGAGGGAGGGGGAGGCACTGATTGGCAGGGCTGCCGGTGGGCAGGAGCCACTGGGAGTAAGGCCGGGGGGAGAGAAGAGCTGATGGGGGGCTGCTGACATATTACTGTGGCTCTTTGGCAATATACATTGGTAAATTCTGGCTCCACAGGCTCAGGTTGGCCACCCCGGAAATAAAGGCTCCCAAAGATACTAGTCACCTTTGAAAATATTGGCCCACAGACCGTTTCCTTTTTCACCCCCGTAGTCAAAAGAAAACGTTCAGCTCAGTCCTCTTCTCTTCTGCCCCCTTTGAATGTGTGTTTCGTGTACTTACTTTGCTGCCAATCCTGAAACAGATAGGATGTGTGTGTGCAGTCAACTGCAGGACTGGGGTCTTCATTTGTCAACAGCATAGCATCATCCACCATAGTAAAGGGCAATATGTAAAGTCCCTACTGTAATGGTTGTGCTCTGCATAGATTTAACTGCTCACACCTACTCTGCATAATCTCCATCATGTTCCCTTTATGGACAATTTTAAAAATAAATGAACTTGTTTGTACCTTGCACTGAAAATCTGAACCTTCATACTTCATGCAACCTGAAGCAAGGATGGGTTCTCCATGTTCATCTTCTTCAACAATGGCAAAGCAATGCCCGTTAGTTCTGGAAAAACACATCATTCCAATTCACCAATTGCTGTGCAAAGTTAACTGGCAATCAACCTATTTATGAAAATTAGTATGTGTACCCTACAATGTTTCTTGTCCTAATATAAACTGATCACCAGAGTGTGGGTGAGACTAAAGGAAATGAGGTACACAGAGTTGTTGTTTTTTTGTCTGAACTAAAATCAGAGGGTACCAATATGAAGACACTGGTCAAGATACATATTTTTTCTATATAAACCTCAAGTTTAGAAGCTAGTAAAAGGCTCCTAACCTTCACCCATGAGGCAAAAAGGTCCCAGGTCAGCATTTCCCATCGGGTAAACATGTCGTTGAGAACTGAATTGTCAATCTCCCAATTCATGATTCACAGAAAAATGTCTGCTCCAGCAGTCCATTAGGGAGTTTTGCAGCCTTGGTAAATATGCTGCTTCTACCTCTCATTGAGGTGGAGTACTGAAGTCGATGGGAGAGCGCACTCCCATTGACTTAATGCATCTTTTCCAGATCCGCTAAATCAGCATCGCTGCATCAATGGCAGCAGCGCCAATTTAGCATAGTAGTTAAGACAAGCCCCAGAATCTCCTTGAGAGTGGTACCTGCAAAGGAACCAGAAGGTGGTTTGTGGGTAGGAGTTACCAGAAACTCAATCTGCTAGCTGCCATGAATATTCTCTAATACATATTTATCTGTAATTAGGGTCCTCCAGTTTTTGGCAAATTAGATATGGTGGCCTCCAAATATCAGAGGAGAGGAATGACGTGACATCAGTAAAGAAACATGGGTTTCGACAGTCCTGTCAAAAGAAAAACTCTTTGCCTGGAGTTAAGAGTACAGTGTGGCAGTAGATGTTGCAGAGGCTAGGTTCCTGGGTCTATAAGCCTTCTGTCTCTTGCTTGCTGACTCCTGAGGACATTGGTGGTAAAAATGTTGAGGAGGAATGTAATGGGGTATACAACTACACACTGGGCAAAAGGGGTTAAGGCACTGCTCTGGGTACGGCCACTGCTCTGGGCACAGCTACATCTGTCAGAAATGCTCCAACTGGAAAAGGAGTTAAAAGGCAGAGGAGCAGCTTATTTGGTAGCAGACCAGGGAAGACAGCAGTCCAGGGAAGACAGCAGACCTGCAACATGCAGCTCCAGCAGAGAAGAGCTGAGGGAAAGGCAGAATCTCTCCCCTGCCAAAAGGTTCCTCCCTGAGGGAAGGGAGGACCTGCTACAAAGAATCTGAGAGGGAAGGTTTTTCCCTCTCCCTCTCATATGGACTCTGAGTTTTGTTAATTCCCCCTTGGACTACCCCCTAGCAAGGGAAAGCCCTAGGACTGATCAGGCCCAGGAGGGTGGGCCATACCACAGGAGGATGCAGTTGTTGCCCAGGAGAGGAAGAGAACTACCACGCTACACACAACCACCAGAAGGTGCCTTGTGGTGAGAGGACACCCTTCACACCGCCTTAGCTCAGACAGCGACTTTGGGACAATCTCAGGTGGTTATAGGAAGTGGCCCATGGAGAGCAGCCTCTGGCTCTCATACCACTGACAGATCTCAAAGGGCCTTGAATAGGAGCCCAGTGAAGTGGAGAACCTGGACTCCCCTACCAAGAACACCCCTGAAAGTCACAGGCCTAAGCTCTGACCACTAGGTAATGCTACCCTACCAACCAACCCCCAAGCAAGGACCATCAGAAGGCAGTGTTGCCCTATAACCCATCTATGGTGTTTTCTCTTAGGAGCAGAAATATAAATGCTCAGAGAGTAAAGCATAGTCCCCAAGGCTTTGAGAGAGTGGAGAGACTCATATTATCAAGGAATAGATTGATAGCATCAAAGGGCAGATCTTGGAAGGTACTCTGCAAATCTCTAGATAAACTGGAGGATTGCAACCATGAGTCTCTCCTCATAACAATGGTCATAGTCAATGCCACAGACGCAGTATCTGCTGCATCCTCTGCAGTTTGGAGGAAAGTTTAAGCCCCCAATCTGCCCTCATCCACTAAGGCCTGGAAGCAGGCTCTATCATCATCAAAGAACTTGTCCTTAAACTCCATAAACTTGGTATATTAGTAAAATCATATTTGGCTAAGAGATCCTGATAATTTGAGATCCTCAACTGGAGGGAGGTGGAAGAGAAGACCTTTTCCGCTAGAAGGTCAAGCTGCTTGTGTCCCTTAACAGAGGGAGTAGCCTTTGGGTGCTGTGGCTTGGACTTTTCTGTAGCCACCTGCATCAGCAAAGAATTAGGCAGTGGATGAGAGAACAAAAAAATCTACCCACCCTCAGCCATCAGAAGTGGGAGCACAAGAAGCAGCAGCGCGCTGAGTTCATGAAGGCCTCATGGATGAGGAGGGCAACTCAACTGGAACTGGAAGGCTGAAGAACGTATAGTAAACTGTGCTGTGGTTCCTAGACTTCCTCAAGCTGAATCTGTAATTCTGCAGCGACCCTGTGCATGACCTCTTAATATTGCTTAAAGTGGTGTGGAAGAGATGGAGAAAATAGAGCAACCACCTCATCCAGCAAAGACAACAAGATTACTTCCGGAACAGTTGAGACTGGTGGATCCAGCTCACCTTTCCTCTCTGAATATTCTGACAGGGCCGGTTATGAATGTCCGAGTGATGGCAAATAGGATTCCTGCATTGATCCTGAATGTTGTCTAGGGTGGGGCTTCCGGTCCCCAATATTGCCTGTTGGACAGATGAACTGGTAGAGGGGGACCCCATGGCATAGGACACCACCTGTCTCTTGGCAAATGGTATTTGGTTGGAAGACGGAACCCTGATCTTCTGGGATTCCTATCCAAGACATTTCTGTCCAATGCTGCAGAGACTCCTGTGGAGCGTCTGCCTCAGCCAAGGAAAAAGCCAGATCCTGTATCCCTGGAGGAACCGACAGTAACAATGGTTGCATCTCAAGGCAAGCAGGTGGGATGGTCAGGTCCTTCCACCAACTGGATGACTCTAGGATCCACTGGGGAACAGAGAGTAATCTGCCTAGCCCATCCTTGTTTGGTTTGTAAACTGTTCAAAGCCATCCCTTTGACCTTAGAGATGTGATCTGGCATCTTGCCCTACAAAGATTCAAGCTGATATCCACCCCAGCAATTGAAGACAATCTCTTACTGTTATTTGGGGACTGCCCTGAATCTTTGAGATGAAATTCACTAGTATGGGAAATCTGTCATAAGGGAGATATGCTCTGCCTGTCACTACACATAGAGGAGATCCTATGAAGTCTAGACTCTGTAGTGGAGTCAAAGCAGACTTTTCGAGGTTGATTTGAAGGTCCCAACTCTGAAACAGAACACGTTATCTTTAATGATGTCTACACTTCCTGATATGATGTACCCTGATCAACCACTCATCGAGGTATGGGAAAAGGATTATAACCAAACAATGTAGCAACTACTGCCAGAATCTTTGAGAATATCCTTAGGGCTGGAGATGGGCCAAAAGAGAGCATCCTGTATTGGTCAAGAAACCTCTTGTGTGAAGAGTGACATGAAAATATGCATCTTGTAAGTCAAGAGTTGCAAACCAGTCTCCTAACTCTAACGAGATAATTATTGCTGCAAGGGTCATCATCCTGAATTTCTGCTATTTTACGTATCTGTTTAGAAACCTGAAGTCTAAAATTGACCTTCAGCCTCCATTCTTTTTGGGGATCAGGAAGTATTTTGAATAGAATCCCCTTTCCCTGTGCTGTACAGGAACTAAATCCATTGCACGTAAATGTAGAAGTGAGGCCATCTCTTGCACCAGCTATTGATTGTGAGAGGGGTCCCTGAAGAGGGACAGGGAGGGGGAAAGGGTAGGAGGGATAGATTTGAAATGGATAGTGTAACCAGATGTTATGGTTTCCAAAACCCATTTGTCAGATGTTATATTCTCCCATTCAGCCTGAAAATGGGAGAGGTGGCATCTGAAAGGAGAGAGAATGGTAAGATATTGTAGCTGTAAAACCTTGTTGACTGGATGGTTGATACTCTTAACCAAGCCAGAAAAACTATCGCTTGGAGGATGTGGATGGCTGATTAAATGTAGCTGAAGGAGGTAATTTTTTTTTTTTGTATCTTGGTCTCTTAGACCAGGGTTCAGACGGTCCATGATACACTGATACGGGATTGGGTATGTGCTTCATGCCATCTGAGATCTACTAAATCCCCTCTTATTTACAGGGGTATAAATCCCTAGGGATTGCAGTGTGGCTCTTGAGTTCAAGCGTGGAGAGATCTATCAGTCAAGTCTGCAGAGAGCTTGCAACCATCAAAGTGGAGGTCTTCTATGGTTCTCTGAACCTCTCTTGGGAAGCCCAACAGCTCCAGCGAAGAAGCTGTTCTAATGACTATGGCAGTGCAAAGAGACTATGCTGCAGTATCCAAAGTGTCCAAGGAGGCCTGGAGCAATGTCTTTGCCAGGAGTTAACCATCTTGTGCAATGGCCTTAAACTGGTCAAGATATTCCTCTGATGGATAGTCAATTAAGGAATAAAATTTGTTGAAATTTAAATAGTCGTATTGGGCCAAGCGTGCATGATGGTTTACTATGCTGAAGTGTGGCTGAAGCATAGGATTTGAGACCAAAAATCGAGTCTCTTGTGGTCCTTACTGTACAGGGTGGACTTTGAGTTATGTTATCTGCCTCCCCAATTTATTTACCTACAAAGACCCAAAGTCAGGGTTATCTGTCCATGTAGAAGCTGATAAAAATCACTAACATAACGCATACATGGGAGCTCTATGCATAGCACTGCTATATGACTTGACTTTTAAGCAGTACAGGGAATATAACTCCCTCAACACAGGCAGAAAAAAAAATCTGTTAACTTTTTAAAAGTACTTGCAATTTAAGTGTATCTACCGAATTAATAGCCTTGGATCTCAATAGTTTATGCTTTAACAAAAAGACAATTCACATTTAAATTTTACAGATATGCTTGTGCACAGTGGGGATAGAAGGTAGAATCTGTATATTTTTGAGTATTTTACCATAAACATACTGCTCAAATAGAATGCATAAGTGTTGTTAAATTCTCCAGTAGTAACAATAGTATATGATAATAGTTCCATATGCACTGGTTATAGACCAGTGAAAGAAAAATGCTGCAAGGATTATATTAAAAATGAACACCAGAGGGCGATAAAAAGCAACAAAATTTCTGATAGTATAAAGGAATTTAAAACCAAAATCATAATCCTTACCTCTAGTTTAGTGTCTTCTAAATTTAAAAGTCATAAAACTGAAAGTTGTGTATCATTTGTTCCAAAGATATGAAATTCCCTCAGATAAATCTAGATAAATTGTTTAAGATACAAGAGGCTGTAGCTATAAGGACACTTCCCCTATTATTTATATCTTAATACATTTAATAACACAGTGATGACTAATAATACTTTGCAGCTTCTGTGGAAGGCCCTCAAGGAATTTTACAAACAATTATTTTAACATCACAATTCTTATACAATACAGATGAGGATTATTCTTTCAATTTTAGAAATAAGGAGAGTGAGTCTCAGAGAAGCTAGATGACTTGCCCAATGGGACAAAGAAAGGCTGTGGAAGAGTAAAAAATATTACCTAGATTCTCTTGACCACCATATTCCTGGCTGGATTCTTAGTATATGGTGACTTTCTAAAATATGGGAGGCCTGTGACACATTTATAAAAATGGGTATATGCACATTTTAATATCTGTATCAAAATGAAGGGGCAAACTGTATAAAAAAGTAATAATATAAAAATATACATTGTTATGTATCTCTGAAATGTAATGTACAATTATTCCAAAATTCCAACGGTATCAAAATGAAGGGGACTATCAAGCGAAAAGGGAGTGAGAGAAGGACCTCAAATGTCTCTGTTGGTTGGGGAGAGGGTGTTAAGGAGAAGAAACACAGATGGCGTAAAGAAGACTGAAATAAAGGAGAAGAAAAGAAAGATGGGAAACTGCAAAACAATTTTTAAATCATTACTCAAAACGACCACAAAAACCTAAGTAAGTTCAAGCTACAATTCCATCTTGGGGCTCTGGTGACATGAACAACTACTTAAGCTTTGCTCTTGTGGCCTATCACCACCAGACTTCTTCAGTGAAATTAGAGATATATTTTAATAGCTGGGGGAGCACTGGGCTGATTCTCCAGGAGATTATGCCACTGTGTGTATAAACAGAGCAAAGTGAACTTAGGCTGGCTGGAAATAGCTGGTGGAGAATTCTTCCTCTACACAGCTCTACACTAGCAGAAAGCTGGAGAAGGCAGCGCTGTCACTTTGTGCCAGACTCCCCACTCAGCATTAGTGGATGGATGGGAACATGGTTTGGTGGTAGGACCTGGGTAAGACGAGGAGGGGAGCAACACCTCTGTTACAGCCACTTCCTTCACTGTCATGCCAGTAGTGCGAATTAGGGCTGTTGCTGTTCAGCCTAACTTGCATAAAGGCCAAGTGAACCTGAAAAAAGGAACTACAGCCTGAGATCTGCCAACATTACTTTATTCGACAAGAATCACAGCCATTATTACCAAACATTAACATTCAATATTTATACTTTATATTCTGTTTACTAAAACATTTTCTTCAATTCACCGGATGTGTAATTAATGCAAAAAACTATCTTAATGGAACTTAAACCTATTGAAGTTAAAAGGCTATCTCTGTTCTTCCTCACAAACTCTTCTAGACCTTTGATTCAGCGGTTCTCTTTGGGATTTTCTCGTTCCAATCTATCCTTATTACTGCTACTGATGCATATGTAATACGAAAAAACTTGAATTTAGTGATTACATAACAAGGGGCAATATGACATTTTGAGCACTAGTTGTATCAATATACAAGAAAATTTACATGAAACATTACCGAGAGATTTACATTTTGGCCATGTATTACCTATTGTAGCTTCAACTGGATAAGTTTTTTATAATTTTGCCCTAAAGACAGTGTTGTTGGAACAAAAAGACTGGTTGTTACCACTCCCTAAATAGTTCCACTTCTGTGATGGGAGAAATCATGAATGCACACACTATCCTGAGAGCAGTTTTGTATCCTTTTAGGGAAAAGATTCTATAGAAACAAGTAAATCTAATCAAATAGCTTGACAAAGCTCTAACGATAACATTAGAGAGAAAGAACCAAACTTTCCCAAACTTCTATATCTTGTACACTCTACTTACATGCATGTGTTATTAATAGCATCATCCGGACAATGTCCTGAACAGTAGCACTGTAGAAAAGGTAAGGTGTCCTCTGGAGCCAATGTTACTCCATTTGCCTGTTTCTTCTGGTCAGGATTTGTCTTCATTCCTGTGCCATGGAGCACGCTGTCTAGATTTTGCCCTGTGTAAAAACATAAAAAGATTTTTTCCATATATGCTCTTCTTTTGCAACTAGATGAAGATATTCATCTACAGTGAAATGCAAAGTACTAGCAAATGGTAATACAAATTGGTTTGAGGATTATACAGTACACAGACAAAAGAAAATTTATTTGAATAGGAATTGTGCGTTAGCTCCATATTTCTGAGATAAACTGGTTACACTGGTCTACAATTTTTGAGAAGTCGTCTGCTTCAGAGATAAAATGTGCTATTTATTATGTATTTTGATGTGCTGAATTCAAATATGACAATTAAAACAACTGGCTACTGTTTCTAAGATATTTAAGCTTTTACATTTTATGTCTATGTATATAGTGTAGATAGTAGAGTTTTAATCATAAATTGTAAACCTAGGTCTTTTCATGTGTTTATGGTTGCTTTACATGATAATGTTTCACCTGTCCTGTTTATGTAACACTTTAAAAATCAGCAAAAGGGTTATATAAATAAAATTTATTATGAAACAAAAGGCAAAAAACTATTATGTATATAGTTTAGTCCTATGCAGTGTCTACTCGGCGCTTCTTGGCTTGTCTCTTGTATTCATTAAATGGAGCATCTCTTGTCACTGTCCAGCAATAGTCTGCAAGCATTGATGGGCTCCATTTACCCTGATAGCGTTTCTCCATTGTTGCAATGTCCTGGTGAAATCGCTCGCCGTGCTCGTCACTCACTGCTCCGTAGTTCGGTGGAAAAAAATCTAGATGAGAGTGCAAAAAATGTATCTTTAGTGACATGTTGCAACCAAGGCTTTTGTATGCCTTGAGGAGGTTTTCCACCAACAACCTGTAGTTGTCTGCCTTGTTGTTTCCGAGAAAATTTATTGCCACTAACTGGAAGGCTTTCAATGCCGTCTTTTCCTTGCCACGCAGTGGATGGTCAAATGCATCATCTCGAGGAAGTTCACGAATCTGAGGACCAACAAAGACACCTTCCTTTATCTTAGCTTCACTTAACCTTGGAAATTTTCCACGGAGGTACTTGAAAGCTGCTTGTGTTGTTTTGTCAATGGCCTTGACAAAGTTCTTCATCAGACCCAGCTTGACGTGTAAGGGTGATAAAATCTTCCTTGATTCAACAAGTGGTGGATGCTGAACACTTTTCCTCCCAGGCTCCAATGACTGTCAGAATGGCCAATCTTTCTTGATGTAGTGGGAATCTCTTGCACGACTATCCCATTCGCAGAGAAAACAGCAGTACTTT